ATTATTATTTCGACGATTTACAAACGGAATAACGAACTTAATATACCCTCCATACCATGTATGGTGGAGGGTATAACAAAGTATTTTATTTTTAAGCAGCATAAAATTCGAAGACAATCTAGCCCTTTCCGTCGATTGTAATCACGCTAGAGTCAAAACGAATAAATTTAGGAAGCGAAAATTAGGCACCGAACTAGCTTTTTATCTGCAGGCAGGTTATGTTCGAAAATAGGTTACATCGGTCCACGATATTATATAGCCCCTATATAACGCTTAGGAAGCGAAAATTTGGCACCGAGCTAGCTTTTGATAAGTTTAAGTTCGAAAATGGGTTACATCGGTTCACGATATCATATAGCCCCTATATAACGCTACCCCTGATATTCCATTTTTTATGATTATTTATGCAGCACCACGTTTTCGTAAAGCCCCCATAAAAAGGGTTTTAATTGAGTGGTACGTTTCGACGTTTTTTGATACCCTCTACCTTGGAAAGGAGGGTATATTAACTTTTTCATTCCGTTTGTAACATCCCTCAATATTCGTCGTAGACCCCATAAAGTATACGTATTCATATCCTTCTGTCTGTCTGTCTGTCCGACTGTCTGACTGTCCGTCTGCCTGACCGTCGGTCTGTCTATTTGTTGAAATCACGATACAGACGACATTATTTAACGTAGAGCGTTTTCAGATCAATTGCATTTAGCATTTAGCAGATCAATTTGTATTGTGTCTAGGATGGCTGGTATTGAAAATGAGATACATCGGTCCCCGTTTTGGTATAGTCCTCATATAACAGTGCCTCCCGATATTCGGTATTTTGATGATTTTTGCAACATTTCTTCGTGGATTTTTCTAAAATTTGGTATTTGTGTGTCCTAATGGGTTCTAGCTCCATTGCGAAACATTGTTCACGTTTTTTATAGCCTCATATAGCGGTACCGCCCGATATTTTGATGATTTTTGCAACATTTTCCCACGAATATGTCTAATGTTTTTATACCCTCCACCAAAAAAGGTATGGAGGGTATATTAAGTTCGTCATTCCGTTTGTAACTCATCGAAATAATCATTTTAGACCCAACAAAGTATATATATTCTTGATCAGCGTAAAATTCTAAGACGATTTAGCCCTGTCCGTCCGTCTGTTCGTCTGTTGTAATCACGCTACAGTCTAAACGAATTAAGATAGGAAGCTAAAATTTTGCACAGATCTCTCTTTTGTCTGCAGGCAGGTCAAGTTCGAAGCTGGGTTATATCGGTCCACGATATCGTATAGTCCCCATATAACGGTACCCCCCGATATTCGGTATTTTGATGATTTTACCCACATTTTTCAACGGAATTGTCTGAAAATACACACAAGGAGTTCCTTGTGGGTACTTTATACCTCGGCAGAGAATTGTCCATATAGGTCCACGATATCGTATAGCCACCATGTAACGGTACCCCCCCCCCCCCCATATTCGGTATTTTGATGATTTTACCCACATTTTTCAACGGAATTGTCCGAAAATCCACACAAGGAGTTCCTTGTGGGCATTTTACCTCCTCAAAATGAAGTGTCTATAAAGGTTCACGATATCGTATCTCCCCCATATAACTGTAACCTCCGATATTCGGTATTTTGATTATGTTAGCCACGCTTTTCAATGGAATTGTCTTAAAATCAACAGAAGTAGTTCCTTGTGAGTACTTCACCCCCTGATAGAGAATTGTCTATACAGGTCCACGATATCGTATGTCCCCCATATAACGGTACCTCCCGATATTCGGTATTTTATGATTTGACCCACATTTTTCATCGGAATTGTCTGAAAATCCACACAAGGAGTTCCTTGTGGGTACTTTATACCTCGGCAGAGAATTATCTATATAGATCCACGATATTATATAGCCCTCATATAACGGTACCCCCACGGTATTCGGTATTTTGATGTTTTTAGCCATTATTTTTAACGGAATGGTCACAAGGGGTTCTTTGTGAGCACTTTACCCACCGACAGAGAATTCTCTATATAGGTTAACGATAACGTATAGCTCCCATATAACGGTACCCCGCGATATTCGGTATTTTGATGATTTTAGCCACATTTTCCAATCGTATTGTCTGAAAACCCACACACGGAGTTCCTTGTGAGTACTTTACACGCAGACATAGATTTGTCTTTATAGGTAAACAATATCGTATATCCCCCCATATATCGGCACCTTCCTATATTAGATATTTTAAAGATTTTAAAAGAATTTCATTGGATTTTATTTTTTTGAAAATTTTCTAATTCGTTCCAAATGGTGGAGGGTATTCAAAGTTCGGCCCGGCCGAACTTACTGCTTTTTTACTTGTTTAATTTTTTGTTTTGAAGATATTCAAGTTCCTTCTGTATACAATGTGTGGCCCGGCCGAACTTAGTTTCTTTTTAAATGTTAATACATATGGATTTCTGCTGTTTAGATTTTTATGACAAATAATTTTGTAGACTAGTTTTACGATCCCGTTTAAAGAGAATTTTTAACCGAAGATACTAAAACGATCGGATTTCGAGAAATCTTCATGCCAAAAATTTATGTGTGGTGATGTTTTTTTGCAAATTGAGACGTTTTATAGAGAAGATATCAGAAGGAGTTGATTAATATTGACCATTTTCAAAATCAACTCTTGAGTATCAGCCAAGCGCCTTGCAGAATATCTGTAAATCGACTGCAAAGGTTCTAAAACAAAGACAGTTCACAGAGGGATCTAAACCCATTTTTTTTAATGTATCACAAATTTTACGGGCATTTACAAATGTTTAATTGGCAAAAAATTCAGAACGTCTCAACTTTGCTGTAAACGCGATCCTTATCTGGAAGCCATAATATATTGATTTTAAAATAAGCCAAAAAATACACTTTAAATACGTTATCCACTTCATGAAACAGAGAAATACTCAGAACATCCATCCACCTACCCTTGTATGACCACCATCAAAGAGAAACGTGCTGCTAATGCTTCGACAAATGAACAATTAAATGACTGGTCGGTGGCAGTGTAATTAAGAAAATTGTTTTAACCATGGCCAGGAGTTCAATGAATATCCATTGCCGGCTTTTTGTATTTCCGTGAATTTGCGACGGCTGACGACTGGCTTGTTGTTGGTGCTGTTTTCTCTTCTTATTATTACTGTTTCATTTTATTTCCCAATTTTGTTGCGATTTCTTTTGTGAAGTCAACAAATAGCTGTCCTTCAGAACATAATTGTCGTTAATAAAATATATTTTCTTTAAAAGAGAAAAACAAGAGAATTGACACTCCCTCGATAAGGTGGCCGAGTTCAACAGAGGCTAGGCGAAATGTAACAGCAAATGAATGGATAGATGGTTGGATAAACGGATGTTTGGTTGGTTGGATGGCTGGTGGTGGCCAAAATGGGGAAATGTGACAAAATGTAATTCCAACTAATTGTCATTTTGCGGAATCGTTAATGATGCCCTTTGCCAACGACACTTTGTGACAAAATGTCAATTAAAATAATTTTCTTTAGCGACAATGGGTGTGTGCGTGTGAGTACGTGTGCGTGTGTGTGTGTCTTTCTCAATGGAAATGTAAATGCTAATGGCCGCCTTCACAATATTATTGGGTATGAGAACCAATCATTATCATCACCCATCGCCCATCGCTTTGAGCACAACCTTCGGGTCACTTGGTAAGGGTCGTGATTAAAATAACACTGATATCTATTTGTTGACATATTTAATTATGCTAATTTTGCAACTAATGAACTCTTGTGCTGGTATCCTAACATTATTCTCGATTTACGCAGAGAGTGAGAGAGAGAGAGAGAGAGAGATGGGGCGTAGCGGATGTAGCGTGCTGCATGGTAATTATGGCCGGAATATGTGAATAAAGTTCTGATAATATGTTAATGTGCGTGAGTGCGTTCAAATCCCCCTTCACTTCACACTTTGAATTAACATCATCGTCAAAGGGAATAAATTTGAATTAAAATCACACACATTCACACACACACAGACATATTTACAAGTGTCGGCAAATGAGATTATTTGTATTCTTAAAGGCATTTTAATTGTAACATTACTTCCGTTATTCCAGCTGATTTCTTTTTGTAAAAAAATATTACTTGGGGATTGGGTGAAAGATAAAAATGTATATAGCACTTTGACATGGAATGTGGTAAATGTATTTGGAATGTATTAAAATTATTCAGAACTACATGTACCAAGTTGTTCTCATGTTTTTGATATTTTCCTCATTTCTTAAATGGATTAAAAAAGGCTAATGGTGAATGATATGCTTGGATTTTCTTTCAAAAAATGTGATCCCAACCGCTCCATATTTTAATTCCATGGCAAAACTGATGAATATCCTCTATAAGATCCACACAATGTACGTTTCTTCTATTCATTAATTTTGAAAATTTCTTGGTATATCCTACAACATTATGAGTTGGGGGTATTGGAAGTTAGATTGGGCCAAAAATTATGTAACATCTCGAAATATTAGTCCCCGTCATAAGAAACTGAATATGGATTTTCCTATCTCGACGAGCTGAGTCGATCTAGCTATGTATATCCGTCCGCCTGTTCATGTTAATCCTCACGATCCTCACGAAAATGAAAATAGAGGTGGGGTTGGGGTTAGAATAGAAGCTTATGTTTTTGGAGATGATCGCAATATATTAAGGGATTGAAATGGTAATTTTGCTGTGGCTCTACAGGCCACAGTTATAAACCAATCGACGCGGAATTATGCATGGAGTTAGAGTTTAGGGCTGAGCAGAAGCCTACCAGATGGGCTATATAGCAAAATAGATGCAATATGTATGCTAAAGAAACAGATCGTTGTTATTCTGCATATAATTCAGATTTTCGCAATTCTCATAAATTGGGAGTGGTCTCTTTCCAGAAATGGGTAAAATCTAAGAAAATCGCGTAACAATATACCAAAAAAAAAATGAATATTTTTTACTACATTTTTCCGTTTTTGTTATATTTTATTGTTTTGAAGATATACATTTAAGAGTTTAAATGGACAAAAAAAAAAATTAAAATTTTTCTGATTTTGCAGTCGCTCTTATTTTGAATACATAACATTTGGGCAGGGTTCTATGACATTATTTGAAGAACGAAATTTTCCAAAATGGATTTCGACATAAGGGGACATCCAACATATTGTAGTGTTGTAGGGTATCACATGGTCGGCCCCGCACGGCTATAGCTTTTGCTTACTTATTTTTATTTTTCAAATAATCAAATACAAACACTCCGGAATATGCTCCGACTATGGAAATTTATTGCGAAGAGGGGTTCTACGCCCTGGAAAATATGATACGAAGTGAAAATCGGCCATGTAGGTCCACGTTTTGGTATAGCCCCAATTTAACGGTAATTCCACCGGTTATTCACCGGAAATGTTTCAAATTTCGTATTTGAAGTTCGAAATGGATACTATAGCCTATGACAGAAAATTGTTTGTACAGGTCCACGCCTTCGTATAGCCCCCATATATCGGCACCTGCCGATATTCGGTATTTTGACGATTTAAGCTACATTATTTACCGGAATGGTTTCAAATTTCGTATTCGTATATTGTAATAGCTTATGACAAATGTTGTCTATGCAGGTCCACGTCTTCGCATGGAAATTTTAAGAGAATTTTGCTTTTTTTAAATTTCCAAATTAGTCCCATATGGTGGAGGTTAGTAAAAGTTTATCAGGGCCGAACTTACTACTTGTTTACTTGTTCAGCTCTAAATTTATAATCTGCAGAATATTTCCTGTAATTAAAATTGAAAACAAAAATTATTTTGTCACACTATGCGGTGTTGGATTTGAAAGATATATTCTTAATTTTAGAGTTCTACCATATTGAAGATTTTACTCGATCGACAACAACATTTATTGTTTTCCAGCCCTACAGGGTGAGATAAAAAAAACTGCAACCACTGCCAAAACCGACAGCTCATTATATTGTTTACAAGCATTTCGTTGTCCAGCAGTTTTAAACAAACAAAATGATCGTGTTTACTTGCCAAAGAGGTCAGCTGAAAATGTTCACCTTCGGTTGGCCACCAGAACTCAAGCGTCGGCCATGGTGATGGTGTGGGCCGCCATAACAGCCGATGGTCGCTCTCCGCTCATGTTAATCGACCGTGGTATCAGAATAAATGACGAATATTATAGCGAAAATATTCTGGAGGGTGTACTAAAGGCTTGGGCACGCAAAAATTAGGGCCACAGACCTTGGACATTTCAACAGGACTCATAACAATCGCACTCAGCACACGCAACCCAAGAATGGTTACAAAATGAGGTTCCTCGCTTTATTTCCAGCTCACGATGGCCACCAAAATCTCCGGATACCAATCCGTTGGACTATTGTGTCTGGAGTATTTTGGAAAGCAAGGTTGGCACTAAAAAATATCAAAGTGTCGATCACCTCAAGCTTCACCGTATCTGATATTTGGTGCCAAATATTTGGGCCAAAATACCGCAGGGCAATATTCGGGCAGCGTGTGACGGTTTAATTGGTTTCATTCGAACAAATTTAAACTTATTCTAAAATGTTACGCTATTTCCGACATTTTTTGCTTTCATTCAATAAAATTTAAAAAATTATGGCGTTTGACTTTGTTGCAGTTTTTTTTCTCACCCTGTACATGGGAGCTATATCTGAATCGATTTCCTCCAATTTTGAATTCTTGCTTCAGGACTGAATTCAGTGGGATATACCAAAATGCTGGTTATTTGGACTTATATTGGCCATTTGGTGCACAATTAACCCGAAATCGATGGAAGATATATGGGAGCTATATCTAAATCTGATCTGATTATCACCAATTTCAATAGGGTTCTTCCTTGGGCCAAACAGATATTGTTTGGAAAATTATATCTCACTCGGATAATAAATGCGACCTGCATTTTGTTTACAAGAATACGTGGACAGACAGACGGACTGACATGCATAAATCGACTCAGAAAGTGATTCTATGAATATCCTCAAAAGTGTCTAACTTTTGTAACTGAATCTTTTAATTTTAAACCGCACTTTTTCCTAGTAGTGGGATTCGAGATACACATGAACTTATATACTTCCACGTAGTAATCGTAGTCTAAATTTGGTAAATTTTTGTGTAGTTTTTTTATTGTTAGAATTTTAGACCAATTTCTGTTACACATTTTTAACTTCATTGAAATCTGACATAGCGACTTTTTTTCCGTTACACATTCCAAATTTCAGCGAAATCGGAGATACATAACTTTTCCCATTTTATATATATAGATATCGGCCAGAGAATGTGGAATCAATTGCTGAGAATTAAATACAGAATGGATTGCGAACTCCATATATCAACTTTAAGAAATCTTCTATCAAAAATATCAATAAAATCATCCATCCAAATATTCCATAGGGTGGATTATATGGGCCTAACAAAGTGGGACCTATTGCTTAATTTGTCTAAAATCATTCTAATACCAAATATAGGGGAGAACTCTTATATGGAACTACTCGAACATTTATTTAGTTTAGCCACAATATAAAGTCATACCCATTGGGTACTCCAAATAATAAGTTTGAGAAAATTCCCTTCAAATCAAGTTAAAAAGTATCAGTCGGTATTGCCGCCAGAGATATACCCTCAGCCTATGTTCGATTATCTAAATATATTTGACTAGTGTTAAGGTTATTCAAACGTTTGACCCTCTATGGAGCAGATCCCGAAGGAATGGGCCAATATTGCCCATTTCCTATCGGACCCAAAAATATGATATAAATATTTCGACAGATGTTAATTTGGCGATTTATGAGCTTCATGGGTGCTCAAAATTTCAATTTTTTGTGGGGGAGGTACCAGAAGGAGTGGACCGATGTATTCCCCCTTCACACCAGATAATGGGTTAATAAATTTTGACCATTTGTGGGGAAGGCACTTGATGGAGTGGACCGATATTGCCCATCTCCGAACTCGATCTAAGTTTGACAAAAATATTACGATGTAGCCAATTTGCACCAAATCGGATACTCCCTTCGAAAGTTATCATGCGCACCAGCCAGCCAGACAGTCAGACGGACGGACATCGCTAGATCGACTCCAAATGTTCTGAAACGGATTTGGTCCAAAGAGACCTAGGGTCTAAAACCGTTATTTCGACTAGGCACGTTTTGGCCGTATCAAATGATATATTCCCTCTGTAGCCATATGGCTGAGGGTATAAATATGGCTAAAATCATTTAAGAGTCGAATACCGGGTGTTCAATCTAGCTGTGTGTCCGTCCATCCGTCGGCCAGTCTATTCATATTAAATTGGGTTCAGAATAGAAGAGTATAGTTCATGTAGTCTATTCTTTTGAGTAAATATCTAACAACAATTCAAGAATCCAGCGAACCAAATAGACCAAATATTTGAGATTCTGAGGGACAAGCTACACAATTCCATGTAAACTTACTACCCGTTTCCAAAATTTCCATTTTATCAGCCGCCTCTGGAATATTGTGGATCTCTTCAAAATGTTCCCTCTTCTAAGCTCACTTATTCACATGCCCTGAAACAAAGGGATTTTTTAACTTTATCGGTATTTACACTTTATATCACCATAAAGAAACTAGTAGCTCCCTTTCTGGCACATGATCCTTGTAAGTCCTGTGAAATTATGTACCCTTTTCTTTGTTGCGAACATTTTCAAAGTTTATTATATTTGTGTAGGATTTTTTCTTTCCTTTTAAATAACCCCGAAAAGAAATGTTTATCCATCAATGTCAGAAAGCGCATGCTTGGTCTCAACGGGTCTTATCAGGATGTTGTTATGTGTTTTTGTCCTTTATGCTACTATAAAACGATTAAATTCAAATTTATAACAGAATTTTAAACAGCTCTTAAGGTGCTGGGCCACAAAATGTTCTCGGAGAACACACACGATAATGCCAAAGATGAAGCGTGTAAATCTTGTAGGTGAATAACATCCAGATAATGACCGGAAAAAGGACTAGACGCAGAAACACATACAAACGCCGCTTACACACACACACATACACCCTGAAGGGTCATTTTGGGTGGTAATTTAATATAAGGGGATATACATATGTAAACACTGTATGTGTGTGTGTGTGTGTGTGTTTCGACTCAGCAACCTAAATATGTTCATCATCATCCAAAGTGTGTTCATTGATATCAGAATGAGATGTGAATGTGAATGTGTGCGTGTGAGTGTGTGTTTGCATCTCGTGTTCCTGTATTAAATATTTAATTTATGATACAGTTTAGATGGTTCATATAACTTTATAGGTTGTTAGTGGTATCGTCTCATCTGCAAGTCTCCCCTTCTTCCTCCCTCTCTCGCTCACTCTCTACAACTGGTTATAGTATCAATAATAAGTGTGTTTATATGCACGTGTGTGTGTGCTTATGTTTATAGGTTAGTGTTAATGTCCAACAGATAAAATGCCATAATCGGCATTAACATATTTCTTGGCAAGGCCAGCCATTTCCCTCTCATCCTCTTATTGGCTAATCTCTTTTGATTTAAAGCTTCCACAAATATTGATGGTTTTATGGCTTATCTACCACCCAATGCGATCTTTAGTGGTCACTAATTTTCCTCTGAGGGATATGAAAATTACAATTTATGTACGCAAAAAAAAAACTCAATAAAACATTTATAGACATCACACTTAGTTTTTATTTATATCCCAGAAATTTGTATATCGGCAATGACCACCAGAGCCTGCTGAATACTGCCTACTGCCTGCTGCTATTGTCCTGCTGAGTGATAATAATCCGAATAATTTGAAGGGAAGAAGCTTATTTATGTCTTGTGCAAAGCATTTAATCTTATTTTATATCTTTTGTATTCGGTTATGTGTGTGTGCGTGTGTGTGTTTGGGTTCTTTTGTTTTGTGGTATATTGAAAGAATATATATACATATGGTTGTTAAGTTCATTGGGTCAGTGTTGTGCGTAAACTAGACATATGTATAAAGTACATGGTAGGATAAACAAATCATTTGCCTGAGTCGTTTTAATCTATGTAATATATACACCTGGAAATACGCAAAACTAAGGCAGAGAACAGAAAGTGGAACTTAAGAGTTATAAAACCATACTACATAATATCCACAAAGGAAAGTCCCAGAGAGTCAAGTCCCACTTCTGGTTAAACTCTCAAATTAAGAATATGTCTTTCAAAATCGATAATAAACTATGTGCCAAAATTAATTTTTTTTATACCCTCCACCTTGGAAAGTAGGGTAACATACCTAAATATTCGTCGTAGACCCCATAAAGTATATATATTCATAATCAGCATAAAATTCTAAGTTTATTTGACGACGTCCATCTGTCTGTCTGTCCGTCTGTTGAAATCACGATACAACCCACGTTATTTGACATAGAGTGTCAAAATTTAGTAGAACGATTTGTATTGTGTCCAGGGCGGTCGGTATTGAAAATATATGATATATCGGTCCATATAACGATACCTCCTAATATTCGGTATTTTGATGATTTTTGCCACATTTTTTCACGGATTTGTCTGAAAATTCCCGTTATTCGTTATTTTGATGATTTATGGCATTTTTTCACGGATTTGTCTGAAAATTGGTATTTGTAGGTCATAATGGATTCAAGGTCCAGTGGCGTGGAAAACGTGGACGTATACATACAATGTGTATACGTCCACGTTTTGGTGTAGCACCCATATAAGTGTACCTCCCGCTACTCGGTATTTTGATGATTTTTGCCAAATTTCTTTGCGGATTTGTTTAAATATTAGTATTTG